TTAACTGAACTGTGCTAAGCTGAATTATGGGAATAATAGGACCTAACTCTCAGGGCTGTCGTGAAGGTTCAGTGAAATACTCCAGGGCAGACGCTTACCATAGGACTTACGGAGGAAAATTCAGTGAGTGTTAGCTATTATTCATTATCATTATTATTTTTCAGTGCAATAAAATAAGGAGAAATAGATGCTGTGGAAGATGTCACGAAGAGAAGAGAGTTAAAAGATAAACCAAAGGAAGTAGGCTAAAATGCCAGATGCCTGAATAATTTAATCAAGGAAAGGACTAAAAAGTCCCCATTGACATTCAGAACAAAGAAGTAATTAACGCGCTGGACGGGAACATTCTCCGTGTGCCAGTACTGATTCTGTTGATTGCTCTTGACCACTCAGATGTAGGACTTTACCAATGTGGAAAATGAAACTAAGCTTATCTGATGTTGCTCTCAGTAAACATATAAATGGTGCCCCCAAAATTTCAATTGTGAACATGTTTTCTTCCTTTTCTAATTATCCCTTGGTCCATTTCCAAAAGGCCATAATACCCAATTTAAAAGAAATGGAGGCTGGGTGTGGTGGCTCATGCCTGTAATCCTAGCACTCTCGGAGGCCAAGGCGGGCGGATCGCTTAAGTTCAGGAGTTCGAAACCAGCCTGAGCAAGAGCGAGACTCTGTCTCTACTAAAAATAGAAAGAAATTAATCGGACAACTAAAAATATATAGAAAAAATTAGCCGGGCATGGTGGTGCATGCCTGTAGTCTCAGCTACTCGGGAGGCTGAGGCAGGAGGATCGCTTGAGCCCAGGAGTTTGAGGTTGCTGTGAGCTAGGCTGATGCCACCGCACTCGAGTCCAGCCAACAGAGTGAGACTCTGTCTCAAAAAAAAACAAACAAATAAAAATACATAAAAGAAATAGAGCCCTTGTTATGCACTGATGGCACTGTGATTTATAGGAAAGCTGAACATGGACCCCAAGACTCTGAAACTCCCAGCCCTCCTGTTAGGAAAGGAAGTTTCCGAGCACAATTACATCCTAACCAACTTCCTTTTAATAAATAGGAAAGATGTCAGACAATGCTTAAAGCAGGGCGTAGCCCTGTGTTCCTTACTGCAAGGCAAGTTCTTAGGAGTCAAGTGGCCAACAGAGACCAGTCCAAAGTTCTAACTGACATCAAGACCCCAGTTCGAAAAATATGGGGTCCGTAATGAGACTCCCAGAGATCATTCATTCAACAAATATTTACTGAGTGCCAGACACTGGGCTTGCTGCTAAAGGAAAATACAAAATTGGGTTAGATATGGGTTCTGCGTTCCAGGCGCTTATAATCTAATAGGAAAGACAAAGTGGAAAATATGAGTAATAGTTAAACCAGGTAGAACCTGACATGAGGCGTGAATGAGGTACAAATTGATTGTAGAAGTTTGCAGCAAGAAAGACTCCTTCTGGAAAATGGTTCGTGGTACTGAGATCGTAAAAGATAGGTGGAGTTGATGATGGGAACACTCTAATCCTCTCTTCTACCCATTTGAAAATATATGTGCAATAAATTATTGTTAACTACAGTCACTGTACTGCGCTGTAGAACACTAGAACTTGTTTCTTCTACTTTAACTATAATTTTGCACCCATTAACCCACCTGTCCCACCCCACCCCCCATCCTCTGGTAACACTCTCATTCCCAACACAAAGAAATGAGAAATGTCTGAGGCGATGAGGATGCCTATTATCTTGGTTTGATCATTACATGCTATTAATATGTATCAATTAAAAATTAAAATGAAAAGAAAAACTTAAAAAAAGATAAGTGGAGTTTAGATGTGGTGACAGTCAATATTTTTTTGAAAGAGGAGATATTACGAATCAAGATGTAGCAGAGGGATTGGCAAAGAGATTTTCTGTTTCCTTAAGACTGCCCCCCACTCCTTTTTGGAACCGCATTCTGGACACATCACTGCCGCAGGTTAAGTCTTTGGTTAAAACTCCCAGGTGGTGCCAGCCCCCAGGTGGGTGGCTGCTGGAGTTCGCAGACTCTGTCTTAGCAGAGATGGGACAATTGGAAAAGATAACCACAGTAATTGCCCGAAGCTGAGAACCCTCCCTTTAAAACCTCTCCATTTCTGCCTGTGTTCAGGAAATTTGCCCTTTGGAGATGAGAAGGTCCACCATACTTCCTTCTTTGCCGGCAAAGTAGACTCTCTCTTTCCTTCCTCCTCAAACCGCTTGTCCTCGTTATTCGGCCTCGTGGACAAGTGGCCAAGTTTTTGGTAACAAAGAGCCAATGGCAACTGAGTACTGGTTGTTTCAGGAGCAGCGAATCACTTTTCAGGGTTTGCGTACAGCTAGAAAGGTGTTTAGGAGTCAGATCATGGGCATGACCGAATGCCAGACCAAGAAAAGTTGGACTTTATTTCATTGCCTGCTAGGAGCTCTGGAAGCCTGTTACGGCAGGACCTGAGATATTTACAGACCCACAAGTAAGTAACATGGGTCTGGACTTTGGGAGCAAGAAAAGCCAAGACCGAATATGCAGACACGGGGATCTGGGAGGAGAATTGGTGGTTAGGATCAGATGGAAATACACAAGAACACCGAGATAGAGAAATCATTGTAATTACTCTGCAAATATCTATACGTCCAGGGCTGAAATAGAAAAAGGAGTCAATGACCTAAAACAGAAAAGATATAGTCAGAACACAGGAAAGGACACAGAAATGCATCCTATGAAGGATTTCCAGAATGAGGAGAAAACATGAGAAAAATAAGCTTCACTGTTATATGTTAGGTGCTCATTGATAGTTTCTCATTCAGTCATCACATAATGTCTCTGGGGTGAACATTACTTATCTCCGGCAGATGTGGGGACAGAGGAGGCTCAGAATTCTAAGCCACTTGATCAAAAGGCCACATCACTCGTGGCTGATGGAACAGAGATCCGTATCTGGCAGGGCTGAGTGGGCCAGCAGGGGGGGTCCTGGACAGGAAATACGGATTGTGGCCAACTCTGGAGCCGACTTCCAGGATGACACTTGCTAAGTCACTTCATTCCCATCATGCTTGGGTTACTCGTGTTTTGTCAGAGTTTTGAGTTACATCATTTCCTACTTCCTTTTCAGTTCTAATATTTCATGATTCCGTGATTTTACTGTTACAGTAAACTCTTGAGAGGGTGCAGAGGGCATGGGAGGAAAAAATAGGACTGGCATAAAAAATAACTAGGATATCAGGTGAAAATGTCTTTTCATCTGACAGTGAAGGGAAGGATGAGAGGGTGGTTAGACATACAAAGTTTGAGAAATTGCATGTCGGAGGCATAAGATACCGAACTTCAGAATTGGTTGGATATTGGGCTGAGGGGAAGTGGATAGTTTTTTTTTTTCCTTTAAGATAAAAACTCTTTAACAAATTAAGTATAGAAGGAATGTACCTCAACACAATATAGGCCATATATGATGACTCCACTGCAAACATCATACTGAATGGGGAAAAGTTGTCATAGTTTCTTCTAAGAACTGGAATAAGACAAGGATGCTGGCTCTTAGCATCCTTATTCAACATAGTACTGGAGTCCGAGCCAGAGCCTTCGGGGGGCGGAGAAGTGGGTAATTGAGAAGGGCTCCTAGGAGCCTCAGAATGGGCTGTCAATCAGTCCGGCTGCTTTGGGCACACAGCCATCAACACTGACACCTCCGCGGGGACTGTTGAGTGAGTTATCACAGCCTGCTTGCTTTTAGCTTTTTAAGTATCTTAGAGAAACGAAAGAAGGAGAGATGTGTATGGATAAATTAGCATCTAAATAAATTTTTTTACAACCTTATGACCTAAGTTCAGGGTCCACTGAGCAAAGGACACAGCCTTCGGAATGTCCCCAATGCAGATCTATGACCTGGAAATTATATGCCGGGCTCTACATTAGCGTGAATTCCAACTGCGATGGCCCCTTTGACAGACAGACCAGCAGCCTGCTCTGGTGAACGGAGCAAGGGCTTGAAAATCGAGACACCTTCGCTCAAGCCCTCGCTCTGCTAATGAATAGCAGAGTGACACTCACAGTGCTATTCACAGGCGTGTGTCTCAGCTCACTGATCTGTTAACTCCGGTAGTACCGACTTCCTAAGTAAAATTACCTGTCAGCAATAGGTTCACACAGTCTGTTTGATAAAAGTAAAGGGTTGGATCTGATGATCTGTTCAGGCTATTGTCAAGTTTGTTGGTATCTATCATCTCATTTGTTAAACTTAAAAATATATATTCCAGTTTACTACTTTAATATGATCAAAAATTTCAAAAAATTATTAAATGTTTCTTAATAAGTAAAATCATAATCTTAGAGTATTTTTTTTCAAATGACACACAAACCCTTCTGACCTTCTGATATGCCCTCCGAGTCCTCTTCCCGCCCCCACCCCCACCATCAGTCACCGAAGCGACAATAGTTCACTCCCTTTGGAATAATTCTGACCCAGTTGTCAAAGTCATCATGGACCAGATTCCTGGCAGGGTACAAGTTTGATCAGCCATGTCCAAAGGTCTAGTTCATTTCCCCTTTTCCAAGTGGAACATGTTTTTCTCTGGGTTTAAAACCAATCTTCTCTTATTGTACATGTGTGAAAGAAAAGCAGAGGTTGTGTGTGTGTGTGTGTGTGTGTGTGTGTGTGTGTGTGTGTGAGAGAGAGAGAGAGAGAGAGCGAGTTGGTTTTGTCTATTGGTCTTAATCACCAGCCTTTATTTACTTATTTTTCTTTTTATTTCAGAATATTATGGGGGTACAAACATTTTGGTTACATAAATTGCTTTTGTTCCATTCAAGTAAGTTATAAGAGTGCCCATTCCCCAGATAGTGTGCATTGTACCCGTGGGGTGTGAGTTCACGCGTCCCCTGCTCCCCCGGCCCAGCCAGTCTTTAACTGTTTACTCAGCCTGGTCTCAGAGAAAGTTCCTGGCAGTCTGGACTTCAACCTCAGGGCAAGGTTCTCCCCCGTGGCCCAGACACTGCACAACCAGCTGCAACTGAAAGGTACAGTTTTGAAGTTTCCTTAAGCTGGGTCTTTGATACAGTTGGAGCGGTTGTCTGTTCAGTGGCAGCTTCAGAGCAGACACTGCGAACAAAATAATGGAGCCTCTGAGACAGAATGTGAAGACAACACTGCCATTGTCCTTAGGAAGATACCATATTTCTGAAGAGTATGGCTTTCTCCTTCCAAATCCTCTGGTAAGAATAGAGCCTTGTGCCGGGTCAGAAACAAGTTTCTTGAGATGCTGCTTGGGTGGTTTTTTGTAAATATATGTGATTATTAAGAGAGGTGCAATATTAATACCACGTTATTAACCTGATAAAGATGCCACATATAGAGTTATAATTACCAACAAAAGAGAACTGACAGGCTGGGCGTGGTGGCTCTCACCTGTAAAACTAGCACTCTGGGAGGCCAAGGGGGGAGGATCACTTGACCGCAGGAGTTGGAGACCAGCCTGAGCAAGAGCGAGGCCCTGTCTCTACTAAAAATAGAAAAATTAGCGGGGTGCGGTGGCTCACGCCTGTAGTCCCAGCTACTCAGGAGGCTGAGGCAGGAGGATCGCTTGAGACCGGAGGTTTGAGGTTGCTGTGAGCTATGTTGAGGCCATCGCACTCTAGCCCAGGCAACAGAGTGAGACCCTGTCTCCAAAAAAAGAGAGAGAGAGAGAGAGAGAGAGAGAGAGAGAGAGAGAGAGAAGTGACAGCTACAGCAGAGGATATAAATGGAATGGCTTTTGTGCCAGTTTCTTTTACTGGATTGTCAGTTAGGCCAGGAAAATTATAAGCAAATCTGTATTTATCAAGAAAAAGAATGAACCTGGATAAAGATAAATTATATGCACAAATATAAGAGCCACAGCAATAGCCGCACTGTGCTTCCCAGTTCTCCTACATACTGTAAGGTATTAGTGAGAGGCAAGGTCCTCCAACAGAGAACAGCTGGAATTTCTCTATTACAAATTCTATCCTTTGCATTGCATGTATGTTTGTAATGCAAATTTTTCCAAGAGAGCTATTCATAAACGGCTCTGGGGCACTACCTCTAACATTTTAGTGTAAATTTGCCAACTTGACTTTCCCCTGGGAGCAAAACAGAGAACCTGAAGGATCTTGGGTGCTTTCAGGGGTGGTGGGAAGAATTTCTGAGAAGAGGAAGGAACGAATAATAAACAGTACCTCTTTCTTACCTCTACTCAGAGACTAACCTGGAATGCAAATCTGGTTCATTAGCTGGGCCTTTTCAACAATTTTCTCATTGAATGTAGTGCAAGGCCTAGAATACTAAAAAACTCTTAAGAGTTTTTGCAAACCGTCTGGTCCCAATTCCCTCTTTTTACATTTGGGCCACTTGCCCAAAGTCATTATTAGTGGCAAAAGCAGAGCTAATACTGAAGACTCTGAACCTAGTTTTCTGTCACATCCTAAATAAGGGCCAAGACCACGCAGTGAACAGTCTCGGGATGTGACGCCGCAGACATTGCAATAACAGAATAAACTCCCTGCCTTCCCCCCACCAGCCTAAGTTTCCATTTAACGATGAATGAAGAATGGTCTAGAATTCGATGAGCTTTTATTGAATACCTGCTCTGCTGCTTATTTACTTCTAAGTGTTATTGCGGAGACATCAATGACAATAAAAACTATTTGCTGCTTTCGAAGTTCTCTGTAGAGCGCTGTTAGCTATAAGCCAAGTCACAAATCTTTAAGTCACTTGGGCATGGAAGTAATGACCGAAGGGTGTTGTGCAGAGTAGGGTCGTGGTCCAGAGTACTGGACTGTGTTCTCTGACAGTTTCACTAGGGTGACCAAGTGTCTCCATTTGCCACGCACTGAATGGAGTCCTGAGATGCAAGACTTTCAGTGCTAAACTGGGAAAGTCCTGGGAAAGCCAGATTGTGTCAATCGCCCTAATCTGCATTTACTAGCTCTCGTGGCCTTGAGTGAATCACTAGCGCCTGACTCCCAGTTGTCACATTTGCTGGATGGGGATCTGGTGCCACCTCCACTACACTGCTGTGGACAGTGAACGTGGAAGCACTTTGATAACTCCCACGCAAGGACTAGACGGCAGTCCTCCTGAGTCTCAGCCCAGTGCTTGTTAAAAGCTCCACTCTTCACTCCTGTAACCCTAGCACTTCGGGAGGCTGAGGCAGGAGGATCACTTGAACTCAGGAGTTCGAGACCAGCCTGAGCAAGAGCAAGACCCTGTCTCTACAAAAAAGAGAAAAATTAACCAGTTGTGGTGGTGCGTGCCTGTAGTCCCAGCTACTCAGGAGACTGAGGCGGGAGGATTGCTTGAGTCCAGGAGTTGGAGGCTGCAGTGAGCTATGATGACACCACAGCACTCCAGCCTGGGCAACAGAGTGAGATCCTGTCTCAAAAAACACACAAACAGGCCGGGCGCGGTGGCTCACGCCTGTAATCCTAGCACTCTGGGAGGCCGAGGCGGGTGGATCGCTCGAGGTCTGGAGTTCCAGACCAGCCTGAGCAAGAGCGAGACCCTGTCTCTACTAAAAATCGAAAGAAATTAGCTGGACAACTAAAAATATATATAGAAAAAAAATTAGCCGGGCATGGTGGCACATGCCTGTAGTTCCAGCTACTCGGGAGGCTGAGGCAGGAGGATCGCTTGAGCCCAGGAGTTTGAGGCTGCTGTGAGCTAAGCTGATGCCACGGCACTCTAGCCTGGGCAACAGAGTGAGACTGCGTCTCAAAAAAAAAAAAAAAAAAAAACACACACACACAAACAATAAAACCTCCATTCTGGCTGTATAACGTGATTTGGGAATATTTCCATCCCGCCTAGTTCACAAGGAAGAAAGGGCCAATAGTCCATCTTGGTCTTATGAGGATTAAATATGCACACTGAGCTGAGGAAAAATAGTATCACAAAGTAGGAGCACATCAGACAGGGCCGCAATTGTGGAGTTCTCTTTGCTGTTCCCTTTTTTTATCAACGCAGGAACCAGGTGAGAAACAAATAACAGCATCAAGTTGTCATGAGATTCTGACCCCTTAGAAGAAATTTCCCTTCCTCAGCTCACATAAAAAACTCCCTGACAAACTGGTTCTACTCTGTTCTAGCCATATTCCCCAGAACTCTCAAAAGGTAGTTCTTTGTTTCTTTCAGTTTTAATTTTTCTTTCATTTGTGTGAAAATGTTATTCATCTTCCTTTCTGGGAAGAGGTGGAGTTTGTCAGAATCTCCCCCAGGTTGTGCCACAAACAAGGAGAGACGCGGCGGGCAGCTCCCCCCGACGGCGGTGTTGCAAGCGCAGATTGTGAAACCACGGTCAGGGCCTCTGCTCCGGGGAGCGGCCGGGCCCTGCTTCCCTCCAGTGTGAGGACAGTGTCGAGTGGGCTGCTGTTTCTTCATGTCAGCTGCCCTCAAAGATGTTCTTGGGGCATCTCTTTCAAAAGAGATGCCCTTTTGGTTTTTTACTATAAAAATTTGCTTGAAAGTCTTGCTGAAGAAAACACGGTCAAGCTAGTAAATTAAAAAAAAAACAACATTCTGCCTTCAAGGGAGGGATCTGACTTGGTTTCGATTATTCTATTCCATTGTTTTTATAAATGCTCAAACCTTTCCAAGCTCCAGCGTTCCAGTGCGGCAAGTTTGTGCCTCACAGACTCATATCCATAAAAGTACCATGAAAAGCTTTTGCCAGATCATGTGTCTTGTGTGTGTATGTGCATGTGTTTTGAGGGGGAAAGGGGTAATTTCTCTTTAGACATGAAGATAGCAAGGAAATTACTTTGGCAGGAAAGGAGGTTACAGCAGGAGCAGAACTGGGAGGTCTCCGATGTCAGGCTCTGGAGTTTGCATGTCTTGCAAGCGATGCAGTGCTGGTATTTGAAGTTTCCTTGCAGAATGTTAAGCGCGTGGTTGTTTGGAGTGGAGGTTCATGAGCTGCACTACCTGGGGAGTTTTACAAAATACTGATGCCAGAGCTCCATCCAGAATGGTTTGTTCAGGATCTGCAGCCTGCATGGCCTCAGTGCTTGGAAATCAGACTGAGGGGGGCAGGGAGACGGCCACGATGGCACAGCTGAGAGCGGGGATGGCTGCGGAGAGGAAGGTGCCATGGTAGGAGAAGCACCCGGAAGGGATTGGAGTAGGTTAACACATTGACGGCCACACTAGAAAAAAAGTTTTTTCCCTGGGGCCATGGTGTTTTATTAAAACAAAATGATCCTTTCTAATTCGTTATTTTTTATTGGTTTCTGTGCATCAGTTATATACAATGCAATCCACGTTTTTAGAATTAAATTGTCAGTATTAATTGTAATAATAAGAACATCAACAGGTAAGATTTTCATGAACCAACTGCAGGGTTTTGCTTCACAAGGCCCCCGGGTCAAAACCAGCCTGAGTTAAATACGACTCACGTGGCAGACGATGTGTTCAACACAAAAATGAAGGAAAGGAGAAATTTTCAATGTACCATGGGGGCAGGAGAAAAGGAGGGCAAAGAGTCAGGGCTCTGCCGCCCCACGCTCCCTCCCCAGGCTCTGGGAAGATTCCTTATTTGCCTTTTCCGCCTCCTGGGGCTGCAGGTGTTTCTTGGCTTTGTGGCAACTCCCTTTACTCTCTGCCTCCACCTTCACATGGCCTCTCTGTGTCTCTTTTCCCCTCCTGTCTGTGACTTCTCTTAAAAGGACACTTGTCACTGTGACACAGGAAAGTTCTCCCAATGCTGGGAATCACTTTTAGTCCACATGGGTCCTTGGCTTCACCCAAGAAAGAATTCGGGAGCGAGCTGGGCGCACACCGCTGCCTGCTCTGCCCCCTGCCCATCCCCGCCATCACCCCCCAACGCTGGGAGCACTTCAGTTAGACGTCACAGCCTGGCCTCTGCTGTATTTGAAAACTGCTGTGTCCCGGCTGCCCTGACAGCCCAAGAAGGAAGAGCTTGCGTGATCATCGGCGAAGACGCCTGCCACACAGGGCGGGTGGACGCTGTGGTCTACACTTCTCAAAAGACAAGATAAATATTCCCCATCAGACCCATGAATCCCTGTGCATGGAGAATGGGAGGCTGGTTAACGGGGTGTGGGGAAACGTGCTTACACCTGTTCTTTTCTACTTGTTTATTCTCGTTCCAATCTACGTTCTTGTCTTCATTTTCAAATCTCTGGTTTCTACGCTACTAACCTGATCTCTCTCTCCAGCTACCGACTCAGCTTTTTTCTTT